GAGAGATTTTTTTTTAAAGAGAGAAGTGAGAGAGGAGAGAGAGAGAGAGAGAGAGAGAATTTTTAATATTTATTTTTTAGTTCTCGGCGGACACAACATCTTTGTGGGTATGTGGTGCTGAGGATCGAACCCGGGTCGCACGCATGCCAGGTGAGCGTGCTACCGCTTGAGCCACATCCCCAGCCAGAGAGAGAATTTTTTAATATTTATTTTTCAGTTTTCAGTGGACACAACTCTGCCGCGCGACCAGCACGCGAGCTTCATAAAAGAGGTTCGAGGCATAGAAATGAACTAGTGAGTCTTACAATTAAAGAGACATCCTCCCGTTACCTTTAATGCCCAGCTCTGGAGACGGCTTCTCCTAGCTCCGGCCTCCAGCCACTAATACGGTGTCGAGGTTTATACAAGAGACTAGCAGGAGAGAGAGAGAGAGCACGCCAGGGAGTGAGCTTTTATTGGGGAACAAAAAATTCCAGGGAAAATCCCATCCAATGAAGGTCGAGGGGGGCAGCATTCCAAGGTCAGGGTCAGTGACTGGTCTTTGGTCAGTGGCCAGGCGCACCTCTACACGGACAAGCCCTCGCACCTGGGACAGGGTGGGGAAGGCTCTGACACAGTTATCTAAGCGCCTCTCACCCAGCCGGGAGGTAACTCAAATCACGTGCGAGACTGGCTTCCCACACACAACATCTTTATTTTTATTTTTATGTGGTGCTGAGGATCAAACCCAGCGCCCCGCGCATGCCAGGAGAGCGCGTTACCGCTTGAGCCACATCCCCAGCCCCTTATTTTTTATTTCAAGATGGGGTCTCACTGAGTTGTTTAGGGCCTCCCTAAATTTCTGAGGCTGGCCTTAATCTTTCAATCCTCCTGTCTCAGCCTCCTGAGTTTCTGGGATTGTAGGTGTGCACCACTGCAAATAGCTAATTCAGTGATTTTTAGTATATTCACAATGTCATTGTCACCACCTAATGCCAGAATATCTTCATCCACAAAAGTGGCCTTGGCAGTCAGTCAACTGTCCTGCAACCCAGAACCTGGTGTCTCTGAGCATCCACCTATTCCAGACAGTCCTAACAATGGGGCCAAGGTGCGCAGCCTCTGTGTCCAGTCCCTTTTACCTGGCACACTGTAGCATGCTGAGCTGTGTTCTTTCTGGGGCCACTTGGCTGCCATCTCTGAAGCCCATGCAGATCTGAAGGAGGCTTATCTCTCTCCCCAGGCCACCTGGAAGAAGCTGGGGCAGGCATGCTCTGCCTTGTGAGAGAGAGTCCTATCTCATAAGAGCCTGTCCTGGTTAGACTTATTGCTTTTGAAAGTCATGCTCTCAAATCCTCCCCCTGCTTGGACCTTCCCTGACCTGTTGGGCCCCTGTGGACAATGATCAACTCTCTCTCGGGGAGGGAGGGTGAGTCTTCCAGTCCAAGGTCACTTTGGCGAGATCCTTCTGAAGCCTGGGTGGACTTAGGGACCCAGGCAACAGGCAGGCCTCCCTTCGGGGTCCTGGAACTGCATGAGACTCCCCAGGCTTGTCCAGATGCCCAGACCTCACCACACAGGCTCCTCTGGGGTCATACATCTGACTGGAGCTGGTGACCAGCAGGGCTCTGTCACCCGAGGCAAGATGGCTTGTCATCTCGCGTGAGATGTTAAGGCTGCCAGTGGTGGGGGTCTTTAAGACTTGGTTGGCCACGTGCAATGTTTTTTAAATATGCAGAAACTGAGAAATGGAGTCTTGCACAGAACCCCAGTGTGTGAAGCACAGGAAAGTGGGACTGGTCTGAAACACAGGTGGCCCCTGAGATCCCTTTAGACTGCATCTAGCCAGGAGGGACCGGGGACCTGGGGGCGCCTGCTCCACCTCCTTTGAGCTGTGGCACGATTGTCCCCCATGGAGTGCCTCAGACTGGCTGCAGGTTCTGAGGCCTCCCGCTCCTTGGGAGGGCTGAGTGGGTCCTGGGGGGAGGCAGCAGCCAGGGGTGGGCCATGTGGGTGGGCAGGCTTCTGAGACACTGGAGCCCTGAGCCCCATGGGGACCACCAGCCCTGTCGGCAGTGGCAGCTGGCTCATTCTGTGCCCTGCGGAGTGCTAGTGTCTGGCCCTCGGTCCAGCTGTGCTAGGACTGTGGGACAGGTGGCCGAGAGGCCAAAGAATGCATCCCAGATGGTGTGGGAGACACTGGGTCTACTGGACATGCTTACTGGGAAGAGCCACTGGCCACAGGCTTGACAGGGCACCTCTATTTCACAGGAGCCTCTGTGGCTGTGCCAGAAAATGCCCCCTGCCTCCCTCTGAGCGCTTGGTCCAGGCTGGGACAGCTGGACAAGCACTTCCTTCTCCAGGTGCTGGATCTGTACCAGTTACTGCAGGGAGGGGTTTGAAGGTCAGGCTTCAGGGGCAGTACCACCACTCTGTCACTTAGATTGTCCTGCCTGAGGGCAAGAAAGCAGCGCCTTGCAGACCCTGTGATCTCACCTCAGTCCCAGCGTGCCCGAGGGTGACAGCAGTGCAGGCATTCCTGGCTGGTGGCTCTGGAGGATGCTTCGGGGCTGTGGTCCTCCAGCTGTCTGGCTCAACTCACACAGGCCATGGCGGGCCACGAGGCGCTGGCCAGTGATGTCGCTGACCTGCCTCATTAGCAAATAAGGAGACACATGTGCAAGGACCAAGTGACCTCCCAAGGCCTGGCAGCCAGTGAGTGCAGGAGCAGGTGTGACCTGGGCCTTGGCCATCACCCGTCCTTGCCTCTCTGTCAGGGGAGCCAGTCTCAAAACCAGCTGAGCACCAGGTGGCACCTGCCCTGAGCAGTAGAGGGGAAGGCCCCTTCTGTCTGTGGGTTTGATAACCATGGCCCCAGACCAGGGTGGGACTGGACTTGCCAATGCTGACTTCCCGTCCCCATCATGAAATCTGGGTCTTTTGTGATCTGACCATCTTCCAGCAGGAGGGTGGAGCTGGGGCATGGGGAGCCTGAGCAGGTAAACAGGGAGTCATGAGTGTAGTATGGTGCCCCTCAGTGCTGGGGTCTGACAGGCTGTGGGGAGGGGGCACCTCGTCCTGCTCTTGAGGTACACCCAGCAGCAGGGGTGAACCCCAAGCCAAGTCACCACAGCATCCAAGCCTGTGGGCATGCTCCACTGGGAGGACCACAGATCAGGGCTGTCCAGCTGCCCCACAGTGGAATGAGAGCTTTCTGAGAATTCCTGTGGGAGGGTGTCCCAGAGACACCAGGAGGAGTTGACAGGAAGCTGGCAGTCGGGTGAGTCTGGGCACACACAGGCACTCTCAGGACCCACTTAGCACAGCCAAGGTCGGAAGCACCCAGATGTCCAGCACCTTCCTCCTGCCCTTGCCCCCTCCGGGTGGGCACTGGCCCGACCTCCTGCAGTAAGCTGTTCTGTGGAGTTTAATGCAATACAGTCATGGGGTTTGTCCTGTTTTGTCTGGTGTCTGTCCCTCAGCCGAATCATTCTGATGCTCATCCATTTTTTTTTTTTTTTTTTTTTGGTGGTACTGGGTATTGAATCCAGGGTCACTATACTACTAAGCCACACCACATCCTGGTTCTCCTATTATTTTCATTTTATAGGTCAGGTTTTCTACATAGACATCATGTTTACTGTGAAGTGTTTTACTTCTCTCATCCCAGTGTGTAGGGCTTTACTTTATTTTCTCTTTTTTGGGGTTCCATCAAGGTGGTGAGAGAGCATGTGATACTTTTTCTTGGTCTTGGGGAGCACTGGGTCTTCCCTGTGATGTGTGAACTTCACAGTAGGTTTCTCTTTATCAGGTTGAAGAACCTCACTTCCGTTCCTAGTTTTCTGGGAGTTCTCATCAGGAATGGACGGTAGATTTTATCAAATGCTTTTCCTGCATCTTTCGCAATGATCAAGTGGATTTTCTTTTTCCTTTTATTAATGTGGTGAATTGCATTGATTATTTTTGAGTATTTTCCTAGTTGAGATGCATTTTTCTTCTTATATTGCTGTTGGGTTCTATTTGCTAAAATTCTGCTTAGGATGTTTGCATTTGTGTTCAGGGAAATTCATCTGTAATTTTCTTTTTTTTTTTTTTTTAAAGATAGAGTGAGAGAGGAGAGAGAGAGAAAGAGAGAATTTTTCAATATTTATTTTTTAGTTTTTGGCAGACACAACATCTCTGTTGGTATGTGGTGCTGAGGATCGAACCTGGGCCGCACGCACGCCAGGCGAGCGCGCTACTGCTTGAGCCACATCCCCAGCCCTGTAATTTTCTTTTCTTATAATATCTTTTATTAAGAGAAATAGGTTGGGACGTATTCCACGACTTTCTGGAAAAGTTGCTGTGAAATGGCTATTACTTTCTTCTCAAATATTTTCTGGAATTAACCAATGGTGGCATATGGGTCTGTAAGCGTCTATAACACTTTAGTTACAGCTTCTTCCTTTTTTATTTTTTAAAATATTTTTATATTTTATAAATATAAATATAATTGTGTAGATGGACACAATAGCTTTATTTATTTTTATGTGGTGCTGAGATCAAACCCAGTGCCTCACATGTGCTAGGCAAGCACTCCACCACTGAGCTACAATCCAGCCCTAGCTACAGCTTCATTAATAGAAGGCTGCTTGGTTTCTCCTTTTGACTGAGATTTGCTAGTGTCTTTCAAGGAGTTTATCAATTTGATCCAGGCTCTGAATTTCTCTGCACAGGTCTTAAAACATTTCCTGGTTGTCCTTTGCTGTCTGGAGGCTGTGCATTGGGACCCTTTTTCATTCTCCGGTGGCTTTCTCTTTTCAGCCTGACCCGTTTGGCTGGAGTTTTATCGAGATTACTGTTCTTCTCATAGAACCTGCATCTTGTATGTGGTTTTTCTTTACTGTTGCTTTTCTATTTCATTAATATCTGATAAGATCTTTAAAATTTTACTTTTCCTGCTTATGTTAGGTTTAACGTGCTCTTCTTTTTCTAGGTGAGGTCACCGATTCAAGCTCTTCTTTTAACGCAGGAGTCTAGTGTTATAAATTTCCCTGAGTACTGCTTTAGCAGTGCCCCACAAATTGTGCCATATTTTCACTTTTTTTCAATTCAAAATACTTTTTTTTTTTTAATTTCCTTTTCGATTCCTGCCATAACTGTAGACTTTGGAAGCATGTCATTTATCTCAAACATTTGGGGATCTCCCCGAGGCCTACTGATTTCTCGTTCATTTCCATTGTGGTCAGCTGGTATATACTGTAGGACTGAGGCTCCCTTCAAGTGATTGAGATTTATTTTATGGCCCAGAAAATGACTCTCTTGGTGAATGCTCCACGTGCACTTGGAAAGACAGTGTGTAAGCCGTTGCTGGTGGAGTGTTGACTCGTTAGATGATAGAATTGTTGGAATTGACTCATCTTCTGCTTCTCTGCCTACTTCTCTATCAATTACTAAGAGGTTGAAATCCCCAGTGGTGTCTTGGTCTGTGAGGGCTGCCACACAAAAGCCACAGCTGGGTGACTGAACATCAGACACTTCTCTCCATCCATAGGCTGATGTCCAGGATCAAGGGCTGGCCCCTAGGGCCTCAGAGATGGCCATTGCCTGGTGAGATGGCCCCCGACCTGCTGTGTCTCTTAGGGTCTCCTCACACCTGTGCCTGTGGGGAGTGAGGCAGATCCCCCTCCCTCTTTGGCAGGGCCTGTTTTCCCACCAGATGAGGAGTGCACACTCAGGATCTCAACCCTGCTGGCCTCTCGGCATGTGGGTGTGAGGACGGCACACACTTCTGAACTCAGCAGAGTCTCACTGCAGACCCTCTGTTTCTGTTTGCAGTTACATTTGTTTTATTTTCCTGTATTTTGGAGCTCTTTATTGGAGGCATACACATTTAGAATTTTTATGTCCTCCTCGTCACTCACCCTCCACCTTGTGAAATGACTTTCTTCATACTTGGGGACAGTATATATCTGATATATCTGTGGGTTTTTTTTTATATTCATAGAGCTACTCCAGCTTTATTTGACTAATGATAGCAATTTTCCTTTAAAACTATTTCTGTTTTTGCTTATAAAGTGTATTTTTGCACTTAGAGTTGGTTCTTGCTTTATTTCCCCAAACTTCTAGTCTGTTATTTAACTAGAATATTTATTTTTTATTTTTGCAGTCCTGGGGATAGAATCCTGTTTACTTATTTATTTATCTGTCTATTTATTTATTTATTTTTGTGGTACCAGGTATTGAACCCAGGACCTTGTGCATGCAAGGCAAGCACTCTACCAACTGAGCTCTATCACCAGCCTTAGAATCCTGTTTTTAATTTTTTTTTGTAATTTAGATAGATACAATACCTTTATTTTATTTATTTATCTTTATATGGTGGGCTGAGGATCAAACTCAGGGCCTTACATGTGCTAGGCAAGTGCTCTATCACTGAGCTACAACCCCAGCCCAGAATCCTGTTTATTTTTAAATTTTGTTACAGGGGGGATTCTACCCAGGGGCACTTTACCACTGAGATACATCTTCATCCCTTTTTTAATTTTTTTATTTTGAGACAGCTCTCCCTAAGTTCCCCCCAAACTGGTCCTGAACCTTTAGTTCTCCTGTCTCAGCCTCCTGAGCAGCTGGGACACAGGAGTGTCCATTATGCCTGGACCTTTGCATTTTATGTGCTTATTGATGTGTTTGGGTTGGAGTCTGGTTTCATTTGTCCATTGCTCTTCCCTTTTCCCTGCATACCTTTTGGGTTAACTACTTTAGGACTCCATCTCATCTCTTCTGCTGGCTTGCTAGCTCACCCTGCTGTGCTTGGTGGTGACTGCTCCAGGGCTCAGCAGACTCCACGTGCAGTGGTCCTGGCCTCTTCCCCTGTTGTCCAGGTGAACGAGTGGCAGGATGACTGGGCCACCTTTTTCACCCGGCACCGGCTCCAATCACAGCTGGACCTCATCGAGAAGGACTATGCTGACCGGGAGGCACGAGAACTCTGGTCAAGGCTGCAGGTGGGTGCAGCAGTCACTTTCCAGGGAAGTAGGCTGTCCTCTCAGTAGCCCACCCCATTCATTCGGGTTTCCCTGGGAGAACATAGTCCTGGAGCAGACACTTGGCTGAGCCATAGGGTATGTAAGCTGAGGCTTTCCTCAGGAGGAGCAGCTACCTGACTCTGAGTGGTGATTTTGCTATTACTCCTATTATGGTTGATGACACTTATGTGCTCTTGCTTTTGGTCCTCTGTCAAAGCACAAATATCTCGCCATTAGTGAAGACACGGTTACCAGTGCAATGGACTACTAACCAATGTTAGAATTATTCATCACTCCAGGGTGGGCTTGCATCGATGAAATTCCATTTCACTCACTAATGAGGTAATCAGCAGGATAAGAAAGAAATGCAGATATTTAAAAATTAAAAAAAATAGTAGTATATGGACACAATACCTTTATTTTACTTATTTTTATGGGGTGTGGATCGAATCCAGTGCCTCACACATGCTAGGCAAGTGGTCTACCACTGAACTACAACCCCAGCCCAGAGATGCAGATATTATATGTGCAGCTAAAATAGACCAGAATGTTTGCTAAGTCAGGTACAAAACTGGCTTAGTCTTCAGGATGATAAAAAAGCACTCTGGGAGTCTGAACAGTGCAGAAATCATCAGCTCTGCAAACCTCTGGACATAATTTACTACTAGTCAACAGGAGGCAAAGCTGCACTCCCCTGGGGTGAGATGACCCTAACCTCTGGTAGACAGTGCATGGTTAGACCTTGAACCAACATGTGGCTGTCTTTGTCTGATTTCCGAGAACTGGATGCTGTCCCTTAACTGTCTAACGGTTACTTTCCTAGGTGAAGATCCCGGATCTGTTTTGTGGCCTAGAGATTGTCCCTGCCCTGCTGCATGGGGATCTCTGGTCAGGAAATGTGGCTGAGGATGATGAGGGGCCCGTTATTTATGACCCAGCTTCCTTCTACGGCCATTCTGAGTTTGAACTGGCAATTGCCTTGATGTTTGGGGGGTTCCCCAGATCCTTCTTCACGGCCTACCACCGGAAGATCCCCAAGGCCCCGGGGTTTGACAGAAGGCTGCTGCTGTACCAGCTCTTTAACTACTTAAACCACTGGAATCACTTTGGGCCGGAGTACAGAAGCCCATCCCTGGGCACCATGAGGAAGCTGCTCAAGTAGCAGACGGCTCTAGCCCAGGGCAGGGAGCACCTGAATAAAGTCGGAGCAGGCTCTGGGGTCCCAACTGGGTGCTGGTTTCATCTGCGTCCGCCCTGCATGCAGCTGGTCTAGAGTCCTAGGGCCCAGTCATGGGGATAGCCTCCATGTGTCTTAACTGGTTGCAATGAGGGCAAAAGATGGATTCCTGGAAGCCCGGCAGAGGTCCAGACACTCCGTGATCGGCTCAAGCTGATCCTGATGCCTGAGGTGCGGCGGACGGCCAGGGAGGACTGTGGTGCTGTGTCTCCCGGGCCTGGGGCTGCTTCCAACAGCGTGTCCGCGGGCTCAGGGGCCTGGACTTGAGCAGCCCCGGGCCGGCCGTCTGCGTGGTAGGAGGGCTACTTTTCTGAACGTCGGGCTGTCACAGCTGAAGGGCTGGTGGGGACGAGACCCGCGGGGTCCTCCGGGAGCTCAAGCCCTGCGCCCCGCCCCGTAGCCAAACCCCCGCTCCGTCACCTTCGCCTCTAGATCCCGCCCCGCGCGTCCAAACCCGCCTCCGGCCTCGCCCCACTTCGCGGGTCTCCGCATCCAGACCCCGCCCTGGATCCCCTGGGCCCGGCTTAGAATCTAGAGGCCGCCCTCGCTCCCCGCCCACCCCGATCGGCCACGCCTCACACCCGCCCTTGCCTCCCGCACCGCTCGGCCCCACATCCAGGCCCCTCCCTGGCCTCCCGCACCGCTCCGCTC